ATTTGCAGAGAATCAGAAGCCCAAAGTGCCTAGGGCCCACAAAAGTTATAATGTATCCCTGAAACGAGGACATGCCTACTTCTAGACTTTCTGTTATGTAACTACTGTCTTTATTACTTAAGCCACTATTAGTCAGAATTCTATTACTTGTAAACAAAAGCATCCCTAACAAAATGTACCAAAGTGATAATGTACCGAATAGCTAAGCTATTCAAAGACAAAAATAACCAATAAAAAAAAATCAACTGTTGAGTTTTGATGGGGTGGATAGAGAAGGCCTCTACTGATGAGGATGTTTGGGCTGAAACCTGAGTAACAGGATGGAGCCAGGCATGTGATGATGTGAAAAGAGCATTCCTGGCAGAAGGAGAGACAATCTCAAAAGCCAGAGGCAGAGGTGAATTTGGCAGTTTCACCCACATGATTGTCAGTGGTAGAACTAGTATCCCAATAGCACCTCAAAAGACTGTAATGTTTGGGTATGAAAGTAAGATATCTGAGTGTACTGGATAGAGATTTTTGGATAGCTTTTTATCTAAGGCCCAGGCCTTTGGAAAAAGTCAAGGCAAGAATGTGGGGATATGGGAAAGAGCAATGCCAGTTTCAGAGTATATCTCAGGACAGAATCGGGCTTGCCAGACTATGATTTATGGTGTTTCGGATGCTCCAATAATATGTTTTTTGTTTATTAGTTTTTAAGAGATAAAGTTCTCATGATGCCCAGAATTTTGTTTTCTTTTTTATTTTTGTTTTCTTTTGTTTTTTGCTCACAAACATGTTAATGTGATCAAGAACAGTTTTAAATGTGAAAGGGAAGGGGAACAAAAAATTATCAAATAAATGATTATGATTTAGGAAGAAAAATAGTTGTATAAGAGGTTGTCTGCAATTTCCAAAAGGAAAATAATAACTGTGTTGAGAATAAGACTTCTCTGCAGAGATGTGTGTGTGTGTGTGTGTGCGTGTGTGTGTTTATATAGATATATTTAAGGAGATACAGAGTTTTATAGCCTCATGAAACTGTAGTAAGTGACTGGAGCATAACAACAGAAGGCTTTATCTTACTTTTAGGGACAAGCCTGGTAGAAGTGAAGCTGTCAGGACTGTAGGTAAAAACTTGCTGGAATATTTTTAGTAAAATTGCTGGAAAAATCTTTTCTACTTGCCTGAAGGTGAAAGTATAAGAAACTAATGAAAGAAAAAAGTAAGATTCTATGGACTAAGACCCTTAAAAATGATAACTCCAGAGTAAAAAAAAACTTTCAGATGTTAATTTCTCACTATACAGCACCAATGATGCCAGTTTGTAGATGTATTTGCTAAACTGCTGCCAGTAATCACTCAGGGATTACAGAAATGAGAAAGATTGTAGTTTCTGCCAGAGTTCATGGCAGGAGACAGAAGCATTTTAAATAGAGGTATAATATGGTAAATTGGGTGCTGGCAAAATCATTGGAGGGTGTAGAGAGGTGAGCTCCAGTCTGGGCTTCCCAGAATGACTCCCAGATATGCCAGACCTGAGTCACCAGGGAAGCTTCCACCCCTGAGAGTATGCTGCAACCATCAAGCTTCCAGAACACAGGGTTGTAAGCAAGATTCGGGAATCACAGGACTAGAACTATGCACTCATCACTGCTGTTGTCACTACTCTGAGTGAGCGCTTGGACCTGGAGTCCACTGCAGCCTGTGCCTCAACTCCTCTCACCCAGAAATCTGGATAAAGATCTGAATCATTGCTTTAGAAAAAAATCATATCCGCATGAGACCATGCTTGCCAATGAAGCAGTGTTAGAAGATGACCACCCTTACCTTTGCTTTATGAATCTCTTACAGTTGCCTCTCCATGGCAGGGCTCTATTGTAATCGAAAAAGCTAGCTTTAAAAGTATCTGAGAGTTGCATACTTAACTCTCAAGTATCTTCTATGAAAGAAGCCATGATACATGGGTCAAATGGAAGTTCAACGAGCCAAACCACGGCATTCCACACAACTGTAGACAGGGAAAGTCTTATTTTTTCAGAGGGAAGAAAGAGATGATAAAAGACACCTGTTGAACTTGACATTGGTCCTAGTGTTGGTTAGAAAAGATACTCTGTGAGCAGTTAAGAATGGGTACAGTGGTCACTAGGAACAGAGAGTTCCTTAAAAACAAATCATACTAGATTGCTTATTAAAGTGATAATAGAATTGTATGGATGCAACATATCTAGACTTCAACAAGGTTTTGCCTCAACTTTTATACCATAGGGCAAACTTGTGAAATATGGTCAAGATAGTGGTATTGTTGATGAAGTGATATTGTTGATTGTAAGATGAAGTACAAATTCATCTTGATCTGCATTATACAATGATTCCAGCAAGGACATGGATCTTTAAAACTAGCAATAGTCATTATTTACAGAATGCTCACTCTGAGTAAGGGACCGTACATACTTTACATTATTATTACTTCTATTATAAATGTGGGGAAAGCCAGAAAGTGCAAGTGGGTTGTCCTCAGCTTCATATCAGATAAGCAGCATGATGGCATTCATACCTAAAGTTGCTTTAAGGAAGAGGTAACAGGGAGGGAGAGTGCCACAGCATTTCTAGGAGAAACTGGCCAGTGTTGTGCCTGCCAAGAAAGCCAGGGAATGGCATTTTCTCAGTGATCCCACATGTCGTCTAGGGCTGGCCCACTATCTTGCAGGATCTGGTCAGTATCTCAGGGACTCAAGCTCACATTGAAAAGCTGCACTAAACACTTGCATATAAAACCAGATGCCAATTTATTAAATTATGAGAAATGTAAGTCAAACTAACCAAATATAGACAATATTCTTGCATGTAACATTCTGAAAGAGAAGCTGATAAGTGAAATGTTGACTTCAGAGGATAGAATAAGCCCAAGGAGACACTGATCAGAATGCTAACTGGCTGCAGTCTGTGACCATCACCATTAGGATGTAAACATCTGCTGGCAGATGGGACCCCTGGACTTGCCTGGTAGGCACTTTCTTAGTTGTCCAGGCAGTATCAGAATTTGCCTTTCTAACTCCTTTTTATACACTTTTATGACTGCTATTCATTCTTTAGATATTTTAATGATTTCAACTAAATTGTTTTGGGTTAAATTTTAGTTTGTTTTTTTCTCTTTAAGGTGACTGTTCAGATCAATTTACTGCTGGTACAATTTCTTAACTTTAGAAATTATAATTTCTGTATTTCCAAGTCCACTGTAGTCCTTGGGCACTACCTATATTCTGCAGGTCCATCTGACTCCTTTACACGTGCAGCCAGTGGTAAGTTAGTGAGAACAAATAAGAACAGAAGGACCAGTGCTGACATACAGTTTAATAGCAGCACAGATTTTTAAAATAGCAGCACTGCATTTTAATTTCACATACTCTCACTGGGAGTCAATAGTGTGTGATGTGTTGTTATCAACGGAGCCAGGATAGACTTTCTAGTATTAACTGTGTCAACAGAAATGAATGGGCCAGTGAATGAATGAGGGAGTTGATAGCCTTACCTTAAGCTTCACTGACCCTCCATGTCTAGAGTAATCAAGTTCATTTAGTGCAGGGTTCATGTCAGACTGGAATATATTAGAGGAAACTGACCAGATGGTGATGGGGCTTGAAATCACATTCTGACAAATAGTGGTAGGTTGCTGATGTTATTTAGTTTAAGAGAAAAAAGCAAAGACTTAGGGGAAAAATAAGAAAAGATAAACACTACTAACTACTCAGAGGCCAGGCATTGTACTCAGTCTTTTAACAGATTTCAAACATTACAGATCTGTCATAATGAAAAGAGAATATTTTATTTTGAGTTGCCCAAGAAGGCAGGACTGGCAGTAATCAATACATTCCACAGAAAGACAACTCTGCTTATCAGAATGATGTCATTTCTACCTCTCAACGCTGTCCAACAACAAAAGGAGCTGCCTTAATGTTAAAGGGATTCATGTTTGTGGAGATGCTCAAGCAGACACTGGTCAGACTCTTGATGGAGACATTTTGGAGAGGAATAAGTATTGAATGGAGGCATAGATCAGAGGACTCTAAGACTTTGTCCTACCTTATCCTATAAGGGTATCATTATTTTATAATACAGTAATCCTTTTTGTTTGTCTTTTAATTTAGTACCATTAACCTTAAATGGTATTGTCACTTCAATAGATTAATTGTAGGGGACACTAGTTGCTGTGTCGTTCCTGGAAACAAACACAACCCTTCCTGGTAACTCAGATAATTTAGCATAACTCAGAGTTGCAGGGACAAAAAACATTTTGTGAATAAGTCACTGGGTGTAACAGCAAGGAGACACTCACTTTTATCCCAGACCCACGTATTTGCAGTATGGGAAAAACAGTGCCACGTTTTGATTGCTTTTTCGAAGCATGCTAAATGATCACTCTCAAATAGTAAGTTGCATTCACTTCCAAGTTTGTATTTAAAGAATAAATATTATTGATGCTTCTGAAATCTCCTCTGGTTGCATTTCCTATTTTGAGCTTTGTTGTTGTTAATGGGAGAACTCTGAGTACTAACCAACAACCTGTGCTTTCATGGCAATTAACATCACCCCTTAACAACTGGTACCTTTGAATGGGGAAAGAATGAGTGTCCACCTAAAATAGCCAAAGAGTGATGGAGCTAGAGAAAACCTAACTCTCACATATTACTAGATGAGAAATTCAAGCCCAGAGAGATGAAAGAACTTGCATACAGTCACATGGCTAGTGGGAAAGCTGAACACTTTTTTCTTCTCTTGTCCTTACTTACTGATGAAATTATATGCTGTATTTTTGCCAAGATTCTTTTTCTTTCTTTTTTTACTTATAGCTTACAAGTAGAATGTTTTTATACCAATCACTCATATTTTTATTCACAGCCTTGTTGACCTGTGGCCTGAAGAGAAGGTATCTAAGGTTCCCCCCATATTCTTAGTTCTATCGGCTGGAATTCTAAGGCCTCTTTTCTTGTTAATTCTGGATTGTTCTTGAATCTCTGCAGTGCTGCATATGATGCTGCCCTTGACAGAAATGTGGCCATTAAGAAGCTCAGCAGACCATTTCAGAACCAAACGCACGCCAAGAGAGCTTACCGGGAGCTGGTCCTCATGAAGTGTGTGAACCATAAAAATGTGAGTTGTTATCCTGAAACCTCTGGGTAGAGTGAGTTTGTGAGATTGGGGCAAGAAAATTAGTATGCCAACTTGAGTAGGAAAAACTTTCCTTATTTTGCAATTTCTGTCTCTTAAGGTTGTTTATCCTGCCCATATGCTAAATTTAATTTCATTGTCCTCACGGTAGCTTTCTGCTTAAAAATCATCTAAAAACCATATGGCATGGAAGGGATAAATCTGACAGATAGTTCCATTATGAAATTAACTGTATTTGGTTATTTTGCTCTAAATTAACCAGAGAGTTTCATGTTTTCCCAAAATAAAAATAAACAAACAAAATATCCTACAGAACAGTGTACAATATATCTTTACAATTTAATTTAATTATTGGTGGGTGAAGATTTTTATCTCCTTTTTCTGTCAGCTGTAGTCTGGCAGTGGCCTCCAACTGTTCAGTGCACACACTGTGCTTTGGCAACTTGTTTTCTGTAGGGTTGAGCAACTGTGCAGGGAGATATTTGCAAAGCACTTCAGAGCAGGATCATCAAGAACATTTCTCATCAGAACTCATTACCTACAACCATTATAGGACTTTCTTCACTTCACAGTATAAACCTCTTTAACCATAGGCAAAGGCCTCTAGAATTCTTTTTTTTTTTTTTAGATTTTATTTATTTATTTTTAGAGAGGGAAGGGAGGGAGATAGAGAGAGAGAGAGAAACATCAATGTGTGGTTGCTGGGGGTTATGACCTGCAACCCAGGCATGTACCCTGGCTGGGAATCGAACCTGCGACACTTTGGTTTGTAGCCCGCACTCAATACACTGAGCTACGCCAGCCAGGCTAGAATTCTTTCTATATTTTAATTTTTCTTACTAATGATAAATCGGAGATAATTGATTATTTCAATAATGATTATTATTAATAGATATATTAAAACAAATATAGTACATATACTTTATTACATATAAATATATAATAAGATACATTATAAATCATTATAAAAACTGTAGAAACAATAGCTATCATAATTCCCTGCAAAGTTTTCCTTAAGTAAGAATATCACACAGAATATATGAAATTATCAAGATAGATTTATAAACAAGTGAATTTCTCATAAGGCACATCTATCAATGACACTAGAAGAAACAAATATATGAGTATTTAGTTGAAAGGTACTGGACATACAAGTTTCTGGACCCAGACCCAAGAGCATTGTTTTTGTTTTCCTTTATTACACTACTCTGATGACTTTTTAGTTCAGTCATTTAACAGATATTTGTTGAATGAATCAAATGTGCCAGATATAGATCTAGATACTCTAGATACTAAGAACAGAACAGTGAAGATAACAGAAACAGACTGCTGCTCATGCAGAGCTCATGTTCTGGTGGAAAATGTTGGTCTATAAAACAGATAGGTAAAAGAATAGAATGTCAAATAGTGATAAGTGCTATTAAGTAAAACAAAGCATAGAAGGAAAATAAAAAAATTCTGGTCAATGTTGGGTGGAATAGGGTTATTCTTTGAAATATGTTGAAGAGGGAATGGCTCATTAAAAAAGGAAACTTTATGAAATATGTACCCATATTTAATTTGGCTATGCAAGGAACATGGTACTTCTAAAGAGGAACATGGAAATGATGGAAAGGATAATTCCTGAGAAAAAAAACATTCTACTGAAGCAGTTTTTTCTCTCAGCAGTTTAGTTATCTCAGTGTGATAACTAAAGGCAAGAGTAAGATAAACTACCTGATTAATGCCATCTGTTTTTATGATAGCAAAGAGAATGAGAAATATCATCAGCAATGAAACAACTGTATGGAAAATTTTGATATTTTCTTTTCATATGTTTATATTTCCCTAATCCTCCTTCTAGCCCTATAATGCAATACATACATTGTGAAGAAATTCTCAGTTACTTGAAAATTTGAGGGAGTCATACTCCCCATTCTTGATGGGAGCTTCCCGTCTATGTGAAATATGGAGGATCATATTTATGATAAATATAAAGAAGTTGTAGGGATCCAAGATAGTAAAGGAGTGAGTGGAAGTCAGACTAACTTGCTCTCAGGACCAATCTGAAATTACAATTAAATTGTGGAGAGATTACATGGAACAAACAACAGAACAATAGCATGAGAGAAGACTTATAACCACGAGCAGACAGAAGAATCAGCTTCAGCACACATGACTGATAGGGAATGTGGTGGAGACACAAAAGGGCTGTCTGGGCACCCATAGGCATCAGTGCCAGAGGGATATTCAAGAGGCCAGTTGGGCCCCTCTGAGAAGTGTGGGGTCTAAATGCTAAGCTGGAATGCCCAGCCTAGAGTACCAGAGCCGAAATAATATCCAGCTGTGAAAAGTGGCAGGGTTGCTCTCTGCCTGAGATGGATGGCTAGAGGTGGAAAGAGCCATTTAAAGGGCCAATGCACAAATTTTCATTTGCAGCCTCTTACCCTGGGCTTTGGTAAATTGGGGGTAGAGGGCAGAGTAGACTAGAGATGCTTGAGGAAAGACTGGGGCTGGAGGCTTTGAGGAGGGAGCTGAGAAAGTAGCCTCCAGGATTCTGGTGCTGAGTCATCCCCTAGGGCAGTCGTCCTGCTCAGGCAGACCACTCCTCTCTGAGGGGAAGCAGCCTGAGGGGAAGTAATAGTCTAGGCTGCAGGAGGGATTCTGCCCCACCCTGTGGTGCTTAAACCTGGCTGCTGATTATAGAGTGACCAGATTAGCAATTGAAGAAGTTAGCCACAGACAGTAGACCCCAGGAAGTCTTGAACAGGCTGCCTAAGATCAGACGGGGTCACCATGTGACATCACCAGAGGTGGATCCAGAAAGAAAAAAACAGTGGTAAATACCACATGCTGCTGAGATGAAATCCAATATGGTCTTCTCCATGATTTGTGATATTTTCTTTCCTGCATAGCTTTTTATTCATTTATTTCTTGTCCTTCAAGTTTGTATATATTATCACTAGATTTTATACTATAGTTTATTTCAAATCACATATTTTGCCCCTCCCTTCTCTTACCTCATTGCTATCTTCTTTTTTCCTCATTATATTTGTTTTAAATTTTGTTTTCTCTCTTGCTGCAACTTGTTTCCATTTTGCACTCTCACTATTTCTTCTGAGTCCAGCCTCCCAAAACTAATTTTCTTGTCAATAGTTAGCTCACGTTCATTTTCCTACTCTTCAATACCTGTGTGCTCTCTCCACCTTCAGCAATCTTTGCTCATTGGTTTTAGATAGTGAAATTGTTATTGCATTTGTTCAATTTTATCTCTAGACATCTCTCAAGCTTTTCTTTCATTCTTTTTTCCCTCTTATTCCCACCCCACTTTTACTAATTTTAGCTTATTTGTACTGGATAGTGCTATTGGTGAGTCTTTCTCTCCAATTTGTTCCTATTTTTAATTATTTATTTGTTTTTTACTGTTTCTTTCTCACTTTATTTTAATTTTGATTAAAACCTAATACTATATACTTCCCTTCTCTTACTCCAGCCCTCTTTCTTCATTTATGATGTAAATTTCACTTTCTCTCTTCACATGGCTCCAATTCTTTACTCTTATTAGTGCTTATTCCTCTACCCCCTCAAAATCATTTTTCTTTCACTAGGTCATCTCATATTCCATCTCCTTTCTTATAATAGTCTTAATCTCTTTATACACATCAATACCAGTTCATTTGCTGTTGATAGTGGGATTGCAGGTGGGAGTTATATTTTTGGGTGTGGGTTTGTTTCCTGGACTTTGTGGTTTTGTTCTGGTAGCACCTACACAACAGCATAGAAGACATGGTGGGTGGACTGACCCACAGTCAACCAGATGGAGGGAGGAACCCACCAAAGGACAATCCAACAACAGTCAAAACCAAACTGCAACCAGAGATCCAAATAAGAGGCATAAAGGCATCCCAAAATAATCAAGTTTAGAATATTAAGGAGACTGCATCACTGAGTTACACAGGTCTCATACCTTAGAAGTTCATACCACAAAATCAGGGAGTCAAAATAGACCTAAATTGAAGAAGCAGAGGCAAACAAGAAGAACCTCATAAACAATGGGAAGACAAAGAAATAACCCCCAATTGAAAGGAGAGGAGAAATCCTCAGAAAGAATGCTAAATGAAATAGAGACAAGTCAACTATCAGACAGTGAGTTCAAAACAATGGTTATGGTTATAATGGTTTTCAATGAGCTCACTGAGAACTACCAAAAACTACAAGGAACTTACTGAAAACTATATCAGCATGAAAAAGGACATAGAAACTACCAACAACAGCCAGGAGTAAATGAAGAATACAATTTCTGGCTTGAAGAACACAGTAGAAGGAATCAAAAGCAAACTAGAAGAAGCAGAGGACCAAATCAGTGAGCTGGAGAAAACAGTAGAAGAAAATTCCCAGAAAGAACAAGAAAAGGAAAAAACACTCAAATAGAATGAGGAGGGTTTAAGGGAACTGCAGGACAATATAAAATGTAATAATATGTGTATAATAGGGATACCAGAAGGAGAAGAAGAAGAGCAAGGGATAGAAACCTGTTTCAAAAAGTAATGATTGAAAACTTTCCTAATTTCATGAGAGAAAAAGTCAAACAAGTCCAGGAAGCACAGAGGCTCCCAATTGAGATGAACCTAAAAAGGCCTATGCCAAAACATTATAATTAAAATGGAAAAATTCAAAAACAAAGAGAGAATCTTAAAGGCAGCAAGGGAGAAACAGGAAGTAACACACAGGGCCTCTCTGATAAGGCTAGGAGCTGACTGCTCAACAGAAACTAAAAGCTACAGGTGAATAGCAAGAAACATTCCAAGTAATGACAAGAAGATGCCTGCACCCAAGACTACTGTACCCAGTGAGGCTCTCATTTAAAATGGAAGGTAAAATAAGAAGTTTCCCAGACAAAAGAAGGCTAAAAGAATACACCTCTACCAAACTAGCATTGCAAGATATGCTAAAGACACTGTTTTAAGAAGATGAAGAAAAAGAGTGAGAGAGAGTAGAACTTA